TCATGTAATCATCATACATGGATAAGATGGTTTGAATGGCAAGAGCATTGCTATGTTGCCCTGGCGATCAAAGTCCACACTGAAGATCTGAAAATGATCGGGCTAAGCAGAGATGATGCTGTGCAAGCATCTTGCCTGTGACCCATAGGGGAGAACAATTAAAGGAGGCACCAACAAGAGACCGGAACACCGAACACCTGGCACAGTTACACACGGCGCAGGCTTTATGCATGCTAGCTTCCATCTCGGCTTCAGAGAGTAGCTGTTGGAGTCTATCACAGCAGTAACAGATGCTACCCACTGGTGACCTGACAGTGTCCCCTCGGGAAGCAGCTGTCTGCCTCTGCCATCACACATGGGAACTAGGGGCGATCAAGGAAGGGGCCTCCTGTCTTCCAGCTCTATAGGGTCCTAGCCTATCTCCCAAGGGCAAACTTTCCCAAGAACTAAAGGGGTGCAGTCCTCCCAGGCCAGCTCCCTGCTGAGTCCTCAGCCTAGCCCATCTCTGGTACCCAACACTAGCCAGAGCTCCAGGGCCAAGCCACTGACCGGGGATAGGGTTTCAGCTGATCTTTACAACCAGCTGCAGGCAGCTAGGCTGCTGGGAATCTGGGAAGTTGGTGCCAGAAGGGGAACAGCTGATGCTAAGGAAGAAGCCATGCTCGGGGCAGGGGCATTAGGTCATAGGATCTTTCCCCCGTGATCCTGGTCCCACCTGGCCAGCAGGGGTGAAGATCCCCAAGGACAACTCATGCCCCCTCTAGGCCTCAGCTTCTACACCAGGCCCACTAGGCCACAAGCTTGAAACCATCCCGGAGTGTGCGTTCAGGCTTAAGCACGGGAGTTGAGAGTCCTTGCCCTTGGTGCCCCCAGTCTGATATAGAAGACACCGCCTCTATCTTCAGGAGTGTCAAGCTAATGGATGGAGACAAGGCAATACCTGGGAGCTCTTTCTAAAGCAGTATATTTTATCTCTCTACTTATGCACCTCCCACGGCTCCCCAGCCGTTCTCAAGTGAACACCAAACGCCGCAGGAAAGTACAGAGGACACGTCAGCCTTGCTCCTGGAGCCCATAGGATGGGCGCTCTTGCTGGGCTCTTTCCTGTTTTGTCAAAGAACAGGGCGGGAGGCCCCTATATGGTGTCTGCTAAGCAAGTGGTTGACCAGGACTCTCTTCATAAAGGGAGCTCCTCAGTGCAGAGTGGGAAGGGAAAGGGTGGATAGCTTCTCCACATCCCGGGGCTCTGGCCTCGGGGAAACAGTAAGTGAAGACGACCTGGGTGGAGGCTCTGTGGAGAAAAGTGTCATGGAAGGAGAGGTACTGTCTGTCCCTTGGGAAATTTCCAGGACTGAGGGAGACAGAGCATGCCTCTAGGACAGTCCTGAGACACAAAACTGAAGTGACTGAACGCAGTCTTGTGGAAATGCCACTGAATCGAGGGGGGGTGGGTGTCACACGGCAAGGCCAGCATTTCGGACAGGAGGGCGAATGAAGTCAAGGGAGAGGGCAGCTTGTTGAGCTGGAGAGCAAGTCAGGTGAGGAGGTGTCAGTGGGCAGGAAGGCTTTGAATGCTATAAAAAGCTTATATTAGTGGTATACGAGCTCCTCGTGTGGGCGGGAGAGCCAGGAAGAGAGAATCCCTGCCAGCCTACCCCAGACAGAGTCTGTTTCTAATAACAAGTGCTGTGATTTTATAGGAACGGGCAGAGGTCTCATGAAATGCCCAACTGTACATCAGCAATGGTGTCCAGCTGAGCTGGCTAGTGTCCTGTGCAGCAGGAGGGGGACAGTTACCCCATCAGTCTGATGGAGACGGAGGGAACAGGTTTTCAGAGTGACCTGACGCTTGGTGCCTCCATGGACTTGAACCTGGCTGCTTAGCGCTTCTCCCTGCCATGTCCTGGTACCTGGCTCAGAAAAGGAGGGAGCTGCACTGGATCCACAGAATGCCACTCAAGGGTGCAGGGTTGGCTGAGGTCCAGACCCACTCACTGGCTGTGTGAGCTTTGTGTCTTAGCTTCCCCTTCTGTAAATGGGGTTAGCAATTATTTTACTTTAAGGGTTTGTTGTAAACAATTACATTGGCTAATAAGATTTTTAAGACTTTATTTATATTTATGTGTGTATGTGTTGTATATCTGTACATCTATGTGTAGGAGAAGGTGATCAGAGACCAGAAAAGGGCACTGGATGCCTTAGAGCTGAAGTTATAGGTAGCTGTGATCTCAGGTTGGGTGCTGGGATTCGAACTCTGATCCTCTTCAAGAGCAGCAAACACTCTTAACCACTGAGCCTGTCTCTCCATCCCCTAAATAATATATTTAAAGATTCAAAAAACAGTCTGGCATGTAGCAAGAGTTCTATAAAGGTCAAATACTGTCCTTTTATTGTTGTTAGATGCCCCATGAGGCCCTGTCCAGCTCTGATCTTTGGTGAGAACCTTCACTGAGCTAATAAACTGTACCTATAAGTGACTTCACACCTCCTACAAACTACGCAGGGACCCTGCCCCAGCCTCTCCTTTTTGGGAGTGAAGAGAGTTCCCATTTACAGCCCTGAGGCCAGCAGGGCTTGCTTGGCGAGACCTTTCCAGTTTCTGTACTGCTGAAAGCAGCTTTGTAAGGGTGAAAGTGCCCTCGGGGGTCTCCGAGATCCCCATTTCTTTGAGGCTTCACTACCCTGAGGCTGTGAGATACACAGTCTGATGATGACCCATGGGCTGGACTGAGATCAGGAGGCACAACTTCCTGAGATGGAGCTTGGAGTCTGGGAAGGGTGAATGGTTCTATGGAAGTAGTAGCCCTAAAACATCCTGGACAATGACCAAGGGAGGACAGGCGTGAGACACCGGAAAAGATGTCTTCATCAGGCCTCACAACTCAGATGTCCTGGGTGAAGGCTGTGGTGAGCGGAGTCTTGCGTATGAGCTCCCTGATGTCATCTTCTCGGGGAACACATGGTTTTCTGCTTCTCATGAGAATCCAACAACTACCCTCCATGGTGTGTGTGTGGTGTGGTGTGTGGTATGGTGTATGTGGTGTATTGTGTTGTGTGGTGTGGCACGTGGCATGGCATTATGTGTTGTGTTGTGCAGTGTGTGATATGGTGTATGTGGTGTATGATATGATGTATGTGGTGTGTTGTGTGTTGTGTGGTATGGTATATGTGGTGTATTGTGTGTGTGGTGTGGTATGTGTTGTATTGTGTGGTGTGTGATATGATGTATGTGTTGTGTGGTGTGGTGTGTGATATGGTATATGTGGTGTGTAGTGTGTTGTGTGGTATGGTGTATGTGTGGTGTAGTGTGGTGTGTGGTATGGTGTATATGGTGTGTTGTGTGGTGTGGTATGTGGTGGTGTAGTATGTGTTTGTGTGTGGTACATGGCATGTGCGGCGTACATGCTTCCTCCAGGCCTTTTACTAGAACTTTGCTTTAAAAAAAAACCCATCTCCTTGAACCCATGGGGCTGAGAGGAGGATATGGAGCATCCTGGGTTGTCTCATCCAGCTGAGCAAAAACATTTTACACCACAGCATGGTGCAATAGTGACCCGTGAATCAAGTTACATGGAATCACCTGCTTTTCAAGCCTGTGGAACTCAGGCAGCAAACCCAGGACTATTGGATGCTAGCACTGGGAAGTCAGAGACCCTATCAGCCATTCTATGCTGTGTGGAGGTTAGAGGGCCCCAGAGGGGAACCTTCATGGTGCCTGGGCCTCCTGCTGCTCACCATAACTGGGAGATTCCCGGGACGGGCTGGGCACTACGTCCTCTCCCTCCTGGCTGCCCCAACAGGGAACACTATCAATCTCTTGCACAGGGCCCCCTGCACAGTTGGAGGTTCTCACTTTGACATGGCTCACTAAATGTTACTGAGTATCATATTTGAGAATACGCTATGAGGTCAGGGGCGTGACTTGACTCCTGTTGTTCCACGGAGACCCAAACTTCCCTTCTTACTGCAACGAGTGATGCCATGCACAGAACAGAAACACCCTTAACATGGCTACCCTTAAAACACGGGACATAGATGTTAGCCTGTAGTGAAAATCAACTCATGGCCATCCCTAGACCTTGGAGAAGAGGGCATCACCTCCCCAAGGACCAGCAGACATCTGAAATACTATGGGTCGCTTGGAGGCCATGTTCATAGCCTCTCTCCCACCTCCTACCATAAGCTGGGATGCTTGGCAGCTCCGTGACTGGCCTCCTGGAGACCAGATTCTGTATCTATCTTTTATCGTCCTCCAGTTCTTTCTTTATGCAGCCAGGGTAAACGTTGTTAGAACCCAGTTGGATTCCGTCATCACTCAACAGCCTTTCCCAGAAAAGTCAGAATCCTACAGGGGCTTCCAGACCCTATCTGTCCAAACTCAGCCAGGGCTGCCCTTTCTTAGCTTTCTATCCTCAGGCATACTTGGCTTGCTCTTTCAGAGACTGTTCACAGTTTGTAAATGGCTGGTCAACATCTCTCTGCTCCATTAGACTTCATGAGCAGAGGACCCGATGTTTGCTTAAGCTTGTATACCCAGGGCCTAACAGTGCCTGAGTCTGGGGTTTAGCCTTTGGGTTCCGCGCTTTAGTCTCTCTGGGTCTTGTGACTCAATCTCAAAGTTTGTTGACTGTTTGGTACCCTTATGGGATACAATTATCAAAAGGACAGTGGCTTTATGTATCAGTGAGACTTACTATGTCAAGGGTCCCATGGGATGAGCTTAACTGAAAATTGGAGGCCGAGCGTGTTGAAAATGCCCCCACTCAAAGGGGTCATATAAATGAGGAATTGTAGAGCAAATGTACCTCAGCTGATCTGGTGAAGAGCTTAAGACTCTGCAAACATGAGCTGGACCAGTCGATGCCACGGGACCCTTCCATCTCTGGCCTCCCCCCAAGCTGGTCCCTTAGCCCTGGGGGCCTTGCCCTGCCAATCCTGGGCCAGAGGAGGAGGAGATGGGATGAGTGGGAGGGGCACAGAGAGCAAGCAAGGCTCCTGCCATGACCTACATCTGTTCCTGCTCTGCCTGTCCACCACCAGACGCCAGCCGGCTCAAAGTCTCTGGCAGCCAGCAGCAGCTGGAAAGAGGGAGGAAGGAGTGTGAGGAGGCTGGAGGCTGGTGGGCCATTCAGGTGAGTGAGCGCTGCGTCCCTGTACCTGGCTTTGCAGCTGGCCTGGGAAGGGCAGGGAGGGAGGCGCTGAACTCTGCTCAGGAAAGAGCAGACAGTAGTCATGAGACAAGCCCCAAAGATATCTGGTTGACTGACCACAGGCTGGAGTGCATTTTGAACACCTCTTAGGGGACCCCAGTATCCCTGGATGAGGGAGTTTCAGTGGGTTCTGTCTGTGTGGCTCTGCCCTGGGTCTGGTTTTTCCAGGCACTGCCTGGTGGAGAATGCCCTATGATAACCAAGTTAAACAACTTGTTTTTAAAAAATTTATTTATTTTCATTTTATGTGCATTGGTGTTTTGTCATGGGTGTTGGCTCCCTGGAACTGGGGTCACAGACATCTGTGAGCTGCCACATGGTTGCTGGGAATCGAACCCAAGTCCTCTGGAAGAACAGCCAGTGCTCTTCAGTACTGAGCCATCTCTCCAGCCCCTAAGTTAAAAATCTTACTAGCAGTTCAGAGTAGCAACCTTCAGGCCAAAGCAGTCGAAAGGAACCCTATTTGATTCTTTCTTTCTCTTGAGAAGTTTGAGGTAGCAGGGACCTAGGCTGGCAGAATGGAGCAGGTTCTGGGGCAGCAGATGAGATCATAAGAAAAATCTGGGAAGAGTTAAGGGAGACGCAGCTCGGCCCCGAACTCAGTGTCTGGTTGGGATAGGCTGAAATGAGTGCATTTGTTGGTAATAGTATGGAGTCTTCCCAAATGTGGAAATGAATCATGGAGGGAAGAATTAATCCCCTGTCCCATCCCATCTGAATAAGTCTACATCCCTCTGTTCTCTAGGCAAACACTTCTCTCATTAGTCATTGGGTTTGTACTTCTTCTAGATTATTCCCAAAGTAGCAGGATACTGGACCTTTGAGGACCACAGGCTCCTATTTCTTTGCTTCTTACCCGGACCTGCAGGAGGCAAAGGTAAGGGGCTAGATTATTCTTGACATGTGACAAATAGCTTCAAGATCTACTGGAGCTAATGGTGATGGTGATAAGGAAGGTGGGTGTGCCAAACTCCACCTCCAGTGTGGCTGGGGCCAGTGCTTCCCTTTGTCAGATACTGACCTGAGGGAGGGAGGAATGGGAATCTTGGGGTACCTTCCCACACTTAGTGTAGCCATCTGAGCCTGATTGTCCAAGTTGTCCCCTCTCCTGTCTACCCCTGTGACCCTTTTCAGTGCAGTGGCTATGGCTCCTGTGGTGTCTGTGACCGCTCCAGAACGCAGTTAGCACACTGTGGCATTCCTCCACACAGGGAGGCCATGACTGGGCTGGAGTGGGGGCCAGAAGTGGCAGCAAGTGGGCAGTTGTGGAAGAAAGCATATCAGTTGGAGTGTGGAATCTGCTCGGTCATGTGTGGTTCTGTACTGATGGCTGGGTTCTTTGGGCAGGAAGTACCTTGGACCACTTGGCCATGCATCAACCTCTCAGGAGGTGGGATTGATGGAGGATTCTCGCAAGTCTCCCTTTAACTCATTCATAGGTCTCATCCTTCCCCAGAGCCAACCCTGCTCCTTCTCTATGGACAGTAACAGATGGGTGCAGTAAAAGAAAGCTGAGGGGAGTGGATGGGGGGCCTGTTTGGAAGAAGAGGACACACTCCTGTTCATCTGACGCTGTAGTTCACAGGGAAGAGGGTGGGTTTCTGATGATCTTATTGGCTTGGGGAGAGCGGATCTCCAGAGTCACTAAACCAGGGTCTTAGCTCCACAGACCTGGAGAGCTGAAGGATTCCACATTGGTTACGATGGGAGGTAAAAGGCTCTGGGACTCCAGTAAAAAACTCAAGAGTTTGGTGGGGAATCTGCTTTCCAAAGTTGAGAGGGCACTGCTGTTGAACGAGTCTCCTGAATGAGGTTGGTCTTACTCTCTGAATGGTGAAGAGCTTAGGTCCCACCAGGCCATCAGTACAGTGTGCAGTCCAGACACCATGGTTCTCTTTCCTCAGACACTGGGTAGCACCTACTTTTTCCCTGGAAATGCCCCCAGGAAATCGGTCTAATGGAGCTGTTCTAGGGGGTGGCAGGAAAGTGATCATTTTCATTTGGGGTGTTAGACAAGCTCTTAGGGGCATCACCTATTCCCAACATCCATCTTAGATCCTGGCTGGAACCCGTGATGATGTAGCAGAGGTAGGCTGACATTAACCCAGGCCTTTCACGAACAATTCATCTGCCACCCTCAGGAGATCAGTTTCCACCCTCAGAAGAGCAAGGAGAAGCTGGAAGTATGGCAGGTAAGAGAGCTAGCTGCCCCTCCACCCCTCACTGTTCTTCCTCACACGGGTAGTAGGCAGGGAGGAAGTTCAGCCCAGGGTTCTTTGAGAAAGCACCATCTCCGCTCCTTCAGTGTGGGCTTTGCTCGGCTTTACTGAGCCTCCACACAAATTGACCTTCTGCTTTCTGAAGCGTGGCCCTTTCCTATGCTCCTTTCCCTAGTTTATCTCTACTGACACACCCAGAGTGTTCCAAGGGGCACACAACCAGAGAGGAACTACCAGATTCCCACTAGAAAGCTTAAAGGCATCCTTTGCAGACAACGGGTGGGAGGGAAAAGTCTGCCTCGACAGCTAGAGGAATGGGGGACCTGGTTCCCTAACTGGGTGGGAGGAAGATCAAGATGGACTCCTCCTCCCCTCTCCAGGAAAGCCCCCTAAGAAGTCCTCCATCCCTGGTGTGAGCATCCGGCAGCTGGTGAATGAGATCCCTGAGGGCTGCAGCACACCAGATTTCAAGCAGAAACCTGTCACCTTGGCTCTCCCAGAGGGTGAGACTGTAGTGGATATTGCCGAGGGTGTCATGGTCCCTGCTCTCCCCCTCTCCAGAAAGCACAAGGAAGAAGGCTTGGCCACCTAACCTTTCTATCCCGCCTACGTCCATTACCTGTGCCTCCATCCTTCCTATATTCAGTGGTGTCTGTCTTCCTGCATCCCTAGGAGGGACAGAAGCCCGAGGAGACTATGGGGAAAGGGAGCAAGGAAAGTTCACACTATGTAGGGGAACAAGGGCTGGCTGATACTAGCTGGGGATCAGGCCCCCAGGTTCTTTTCTCTCCTTTTCCTGCCTCAAAGTCATCTACAGGAAGAGGCTATGTAAAAACCTCTTCTCCCAGGGCAGAGAGGGCAACTGTCAGTAAAGTCCCTGCTATGCAATCCTGAGGACCTGAGCTTGGGTTCCTAGGACCCACATAAAAAGCTGGACACTGAGCCGGGCAGTGGTGGCACACGCCTTTAATCCCAGCACTTGGGAGACAGAGGCAGGCGGATCTCTGTGAGTTCAAGGCCAGCCTGGTCTACAGAGTGAGTTCCAGGACAGCCAGGCCTGTTACACAGAGAAACACTGTCTGGACGCTGGGTTGCACACAAGTGTGCCTGTGGTCCCCATATTGGAGAGGAAAAGTGAGCAGGATTCCAGGGCCTTGTTGGACAGTCAGTCTGGCCAACTGATAAGTTTAAGGTCTTCAGACCCTATCCCAAAAAATTAGGTGGAAGGGCTGGAGAGATGGCTCAGCAGTTAAGACTACTGGCTGCTCTTCTAGAGGACCAAGGTTTGATTCTCAGGACCTACATGGCAGCTGATATCTGTAAGATCTGTTCCAGAGGATCCAATGCCCTCTTCTGGTCTCTGAGGGCATCACACACACATGGTGCACAGACATACATGAAGGCAGAACACCCGTACACATTAAAGTGAAGGAAAAATGCTGAAAAAAAAAGTGGAATATGAGCAAGGAAGACACCTTGGCTTCTGGTCTCTAGACACACATACACATATGTATATACACATGACTGTGCATGCATGTGTGAACACACACACTCACATATACACTCACCACACACACACACACACACACACACACGCACACGCGCACACACACACACACACACACACACACACACACACACACCTTTTCTTCCAACCTAAAGAGCCACATGTCTAGTGGTCCACAGGCTAGGCTCAGAAGTGCCATTTTAAAAGGCCACGCACACAGTAGCACCCAGGGAAGTGGTGTTCCTTCCCTGGCCATAAATCCTTGCCGTAAATTTTAGTTAACGTTCTGGTATAAGAAAAATAATGGTATGGTATTTTACTTTTCTAAATCTGAAACAAAGTCATGAGACACAAGGGAGGGCCCTGGGACCTTCAGATTCTTCTGCTGAGATGTCCCTAGCAGGAGGCAGCCGGGCTTTGTGAGGGTGAAGTAGCTCCCACACCATTTGGCCCTGCATGGAACTGCAGGTCTCTTCTGAAGCTGGAATCCTACATCTCAGGACCAGCTCCACTGAGTACCAAACCTTGCCAAGTTTGCCTTGCCCATCCTCTTAGCAACCTAACCCACAAATTCGCACACACTTCCTTGGTTTGGGAGACTTCTTAGCCTCCTGATGCACCCACTCTCAAAGGAATCTGCCTCCCACTCCAGCCCTGCTTACTTCCCCCACCACAGACCACACAGCCACATCCTTCTCTTGGGGACACCAGGCCTCTGCATGGCCAGCACTGCTTCTGGATACCTGGAAACTGTTTCCACCTGACATCATGAGTCCTGAGTCAAGGGGATCAAAGTTGGGTACTTCCGAATCAAAGTTGGGTGCTTCTTTTGGAATAGGGAGCTGGGATGCCTGCAACAGGGAGGATGTTTAAATCTAAACAACACCTATTGCCACTCAACCCCCAAGCTGCTTCCTCCTACCACAGGAAAGAATGCCATTTTTCGGGCGGTGGTCTGTGGGGAACCTAGGCCTGAAGTGCACTGGCAAAGCACCAAAGGGGACCTCTGCAACTCCAGCAAGTACCAGATCTCCTCTGCCCCTGGCGGCGAGGAACACGTGCTGCAGGTGAGCGCTGCAGCCATTCCCATCCAGGGTTCATGGATCACTTCTTAGTACTTTGAATTCTTTTTTTCTTTAAAAGTTTCTTTTTATTTTATATAGCAGCCTCAATTCCCCCTCCTTCCCCTTCGACCACCCCACCTCCTCCCATCCTCTCCTCAGAGGGGGTAAGGCCTTCCTTGGGAGAGTCAAGAAAGTCTGGCATACCAAGTTGAGGCAGGATGAAGCACCTCCTTGTATCAGGGCTGAGCAAGGTATCCTACCATAGGGAATGGGCTCCAAAAATACAGTTCATGAATTCAGGATAAGTCCTGGTCCCACTGCCAAGCACCCCTCCCCCAACCCTCAATAGATCAAGCACATAGCTGTCACCCACATTCAGAGGGCCTAGTTTGGTCCCAGGCAGGTTCCCCAGTTGCCAGTCCAGAGTCTGTGAGCTCCCACGGTCCCTTAAATTCTTAAGAGCGTCCAGTCCCCAGGGGAGGAAGAGATCATTCCTCAGTTGGGTCTATTCGACTTTGACCCATGCTTCAAGGTCTCCTGAGTCAGGAGATGCCCTGGTAGGTTTACTGAAACCTCTGCTAGCACACCTGAACCACACCTGAGTCACAGTTGCAGGCTCATCACCTTGACTTTGGAAAGCTAGCTTCTTGCCTCTTTTGGCCTCTATTTCCTCACCTATGGAACAGCAGAATCACAGTCCATAGTCTAAGGAGTTGTAAAAATGAAAAGTTCATATAAAGGGGTTAGCCAGTGTCCCACCTTAAATCGAGCACAGTCCTGACATTAGCACAGTTCCACTCGCAGCTTTTGATCCTATGTTGCTGGAAAAGCAATGTGCATCGAGCAGAAACGACACACTGAGTTTTTAATTTTTCAGTTAGATCTTTTCATGGGTTAGAAATACACAGGTGCGAGCCACCCACTCTGAGCAACGACAGCAACCTGCAGCCTCCATCAGTCAGAGAATAACTGTATTCTATAGCATATTGCATTCACCGAATTACATGAAGCATTTACCCCCCCCCCCTTTAAAAATGGTCTTAATCATCTTGCCCAACCACAGGCTCAGGGAAGCGCTAGTTCATATTAAGGCTAGGGCGAAATTTGTAGGTTAGCTGTACTAAATGCATTTTCAACTGATATTATTTTCAGCTTACAGGAGGTGTACTGGAATGTGTCCATCTTGTCACCAAACAAGCAGCATCTACCCTCTCAATCGATTAGGGTTAATATTAGTGACATTGGAGACACTAACTGTGAAACACAAGTGTCAGGCCCTGGACCATTTATCACAGAGGACATGAGTTAATCATGACCATTCACTACTTTTTGAGCTACTATTATCCCCATCTCACAAGCTCAGAAATTAAAATTCATAGAGATCAGGGAACTTGCCCAAGGTCCCATAGCTAGTAATGCGGGACAGAGACAGTCTCCAGTGCCAGGTTCATCTGACACACAGAGCAAGCTCTTCCTGCGACTCATATTGCCTCCAATGGCAAGAACATCCTCTCTCTGCCCTGATCCAGAATTTGTTCTGATGTCTGCATTTCCTGATGAAGACTGTGAGCTCCATGGGGAAAGAGTACATCTTCATACTTCCAACGTAGTGCACGGAGGAAGGGAGTGTTAGCCCTATTCCCTTGCCCTTGGCCTCTCCACAGATCAACAAGCTGACTGGAGAGGACTCGGATCTGTACCGCTGCAGAGCCGTGAATGCCTACGGAGAAGCCACGTGCTCAGTGAGGCTCACCGTCATCGAAGGTGGGTTTGTCCCTTGAGCCCATCAGCCTGCAGGGCATCAGCTTTCTCCAGAGAACGCTCACAGAGGACCCGCAGGGTGGCGGGAGGAGAGGGAGCACCCGGAGGCTGTGCTGCTATTTTCCAACGGCTTGCTGGAGCCTTGGCTCCACCCAGCGGCACTCAGTTTGTAAATTCCTGAAAGGCACGCCTTCAGCCACACCCTGTGGGAGTTGCTCTGAACAGGGCCACGCCCCAGGTGTTGGTTTCTAGTCCTGAGTCTTCTACTCGGTCACTTTCTTTTCCCTCCTGGGTCTCAGTTTTCCCACTCTACACCAGATATTTTGGATGGGTCTACATCAGAGGGAACAAACAGGCAGCATGAAGACTCAGTCCTATCTCACAGATGGTTTTTGTTTTGTTCGCATGCTGTTTGAAGACCCTTGCACTTTTTGGTTTGTAATAACTGGAAGGTTGATACCTCTTGAGGAAGCAAACCTAGGCTCTCAAGTATTTATCTTGCCTCTAAGTACCAGAACAGCCCAAGAGAAGTCCAAGAAGTAAAGATATGAAATTGCTTCACAGAGTAAGAAATTCTGAGATTAAAGTCCAGGGCTCACTCTACCGCTCTGACTGTCCTAGGAGAGCAGACTCTTTTTGTCTCACTGCTCTGCATCCTTAGCAGGCTGACTGAGCACTGCAGATCCAAATTTAATCCACACTTGAATAGGAAGAGAGGGAAAGGGGTGGGGGCAAGGACGCTTGCCTCTCTCCTCAAGGAAGCAAAAGCTCCAGACTCAAAAACTAGTCACGTTGGTGTACATGTCATCGTCTAGAACTATGTCACATGGTAACTGTTATTTGCATGAGGAAAGCATGTTGAGTTTCCCCAGACCTTCCTTTGGAAGCAGGTGGCAAAGAAGAGGATTATGAATGACCAAGGGATTAGTCAAAAAGCAGAGTCTGATGTGTTTGGCAGTTCGGGTTCCATCATCTGAACTGGCAACTCTCAGATGCTCTTTGGATGCCCTTGATTTTGCTGTGGTTGCCAGTGGCCACTTCCCGTATCCCTGCCACTTCCCTGTAGACATGTGAGTTTCCACCTTGTCCAGTGATGCTCACAGTGAAGCTTTGAGGTATCAAAGCTCATGGAAGGCCCTCAGTCTCATCTCTCCCTTCTGCTGAGATGTTGTGTCTTAAAGGACAGAACAGGTGGGAGCCAGGGCTTTGGGACTTGGCCCATTTCCCAGAGAGACCATCCAAGTGTCTTGCTTCTCTCCCTGTCTGTGCACACCACCTCTCTCCTCTCCTCCTTGGATGGTCCAGTGGGTTTTCGGAAGAACCGAAAAAGGCAAATGGAACCTCAGGAGGGTACGTAGATTGGTCAGAACACTCCCCTGTGGCCTTTGCATGCTGCTCCCCATCTGGTATAACCACACACACCTTGTGGGCATTAACGATTTATGGAAAAATAAATCTCAGATCACCAGCCCTGGACCAGATAGCCTTGCTTTGAACCCTACCTGGAACTCAAGACGTATTCCTTATTTTCTAGACCTCAAGCAAGAGCTGATAGACTTTCGGAAGATGCTGAAAAAGAGGTGGGTCTTGGGCTGCCTGGAGGATTTGGAAGCTCACAGGGTACCCACTTCAGCTCCTTCCATAAGCAAACTGGGTTCACCCTCCACTTCTGATAAAAGGAAGGAACCAGACTGCCACCAGTAGAAGGGGGGCCTGAAGAGCGCAGATCTGGGTGTCCTGGATCTGGCCACTTTAAAGCTTTGTACCCTTGAGTCAATATTCTTTTCCCTCAGCCCCCTTTGCAAATGGAAGGTCCTGCATGAACAATGATTTAAAAATATGAGTTAAAGCAGTAGAACAATTCAGTCCTAACCACACTGCCACCCAAAGACATCCTACTCAGAAATCAACACCGCCGGTTGTTAGGAGCCCAGAGTCTCCTATAAGCTGAGCCACAGGGTAAGGCTTGCCTTATCCAATGTCTAGGTCCTTCCATTGAGATCATAGTCTACCTCAGAGATTTCAGCCTCTGGGCCTGCTCTTCAAGTACACACAGGACAGCTTCCCTAGACTGCCCAGATTGCCAGGGTCAGCTGATCAATACTTCAAACTCCTCTAGCCTCTGACCCACCAGCCTTGATCCCCAGGACCCCACCTCCAGCCCCTGATAAAAAGATGGAGTCTGCGCAGGTGTGGCAGCTGCTCATGACTGCAGACCGTAAGGACTATGAGAAGATCTGTATGCAGTACGGCATCGTTGACTTCCGTGGCATGCTGCGTAAGCTGCAGGAGATGAAGAAGGAACAGGAAGACAGAATGGCACAGGTATTCTGACCCTGCTCCCACCTCCTGCCCAGAACACAAGGCCTGGAGGGCCCTCACACACCAGGAGCTGGCTTTGGAAACTCAGAATGGTAGACAATCATGTAGCCCCACTGAGAGGTTCTGCTAAGGATGCAGCCTTCTAAGCTTGCTCTGGGTTTGATACCAGGGCCTGATACTTACTACACTCTGGACTTTAGAAAATTTAGGGCTTTGTTATCTTTATTTACTCGTATGTATAACAGTGTTTATAGCAAAATCTACCTTGTAGGGTTGAGAGAATAAATGAGAAAATGTGTTTATATCAATTAGCCTTGTGCCTAACATATAGTAAGATTCTAACGAATGCCCCATCACCGCTGTCTTCATTATTATTATTGCCAGACTTGGGGCCTTATTTCTTGAGGACTCTAATACTCTGATTCCAGTATCTTATAAACTACACAGGAAGTTCCTTCTTGCGTCTAACTTGACATAAGTCTGTTATTTCCTTCTGGGGTTGGAAAACAACTTATTTTCATTGTTCTGTACCTAGCATTTTGAAGGTGGCTTCTCCAGCCTCTCAACTAGGGTCTTAGCTTTTCTTTCAATCCTTCTTACCTGTATCAACCAGGGCCTAGCACATGGCTTTGCCTAGTGTTGGCCCCATAAAGTCTATCAGCAGGTGGACCAGATGGATGGACACCCAGAGCCTAGTACCTGGCTTTGCCTGGTGAGGGTCACCTAATGGCTATCAGCAGGTAGACCAGATGGATGGATACCCAGAGCCCTCTCCTGATTTCCTTCCTCGCCTGACTTTTTATCTTTGAATTTTCTTCCTTGAGGGTCTAAGTATCTTCACTTGAGAACCAAAAATTCCTGCTCTTCAGGGCCATTTTGTAGGCCAGGACTGAGACCAGACCTACAGAGATTTGTAGTGCCCCATAGAGACTGCTTTGGAGCCCCCCTCATAGGTTTGTCTGCCCTCTAGTATGTCCACGCCATTGCCAACTTGAGACATATCAGGGTCACCAAGGAAGGAGTCGCCACGTTTGACCTGGAGCTGGATCTCAAGGACTTTGGGAGCAAGATTTACCTGTACAAGGTGAGGCTAGAGGACCTGATGGGGTTGTGAGTCCTGGGAGGGAAATGATGGATCCCATGAAACCATCTAGAACACCAAGGGGTAAGCACTCACCTGTGGGGTTTCCGGTTGGAGTGAGGTCACACTCTGTGTTGAACAGTCTCCAGACACCTCTCACCTCTCCTTGAGCCAGACCTGTCACTCTATACAGTGTCTAATGCAGAGTGGGGTAAAGACAGAGAAGCCAGTACAGGTATGTAGGTTTGGGGGATGCAACGCCTATGGTCCTTCTGCAGCTAAACTCACCCTGGATCCCGACTAGTCAGAATACTTTCCCTCCAGGGCTGAGCGGCTCTACCCCTCCAGAGCTTCCTAGTGCGGCTCTAGGTATAGCCTGGCTTTCTCATAAGTCAGGATACCTTTGCAGCTCCAGGGCTGTAACACTCACACTCGCTTACACCTCAGACTACATATCTTTCCTGGGCTTCAGTCTCCTCATCCACAAAGTAAGGGATCAGAAGAGCTGTCTTATAGAATACCGCAATGCCCAAATGACACTGTGCACCCTTGTCTGGCCTGCGACCTCGCTTCTCCCACCTGTCTCTCTTCTTCCCTGATGCCCTGTTCCTGTTCCTTCTCTGTAACCGCCCCCTGTGCCTAGCGTGCTCACCTCTGACATCCATGTGGTTAGTTTTCCTCATCCCCCTAAGTGCTTCTGCTGTGTTCCCAGCTCCTCCCTGGTGCTTCTGAGCCCTTTACCCTCTTAGCTTGCTTTGTTCTCTTAGTTCTGTTTTTCCGTATACAAACCACTTACTTATTTACGGTGCTTATAATTTGTCTTTCTCCCCCATGGGGTTTTAGCTCCCCAGGGCAGGAATCTTTGTTCTTTTTATTAGAATGTCTCAAGTACCTGAAATAGTGCCTGGCACACAGAAGGAGTCTGATAAGTGTTAGCTATTGCTAATTCTCAGTGAGTAGAAAAACTGTGTATGGCTAAGCAAGGATGAGCACATGGATAAATGACTATGTTTTGTGCAGCCATGAAGACATTTTCCAAACATTCCCCTTGGTGAATGAAAGAACTGGTCCCAGGTCATAGGGTCAGCTCTCCCGCTAACACACAGGGCTGTAAAGCAACCCAGCACAATCTTGACCAGCAATCTCAGATGTCTCTGCATCCACTCATGGAAAGAGGCCTGGACATTCTTAGAACATACATTTCCACCTACTTCATGACCCATGCCTCCACACCCAGGCTCTGCTCTGTGCCCTGATCCCACAACCCACACATCTCTTATGGTTCATGTTGTCTTTGACTCTGACCAGTAGAGAAAACTGTTGGCGGCTCGCCAGAGTGAGGCTAGGCTAGGAGGATCTTTGGACCCATGGAGGCCCTGAACCATCCTTTCTGACTTCAGGATGGTGAGATGATTCCCTACGGCTTCGATAACCAGACCAAGCACTGTCTGAGACGACTGGGGAAACGCTACCACTTCCAGATCCAGGACCTGCGGCCCGAGGATGCTGGCCTTTACCAGGTCATGGTGGAGGATGCTGTGGTCTTCTCCACAGAGCTAGAGGCCAGCAGTGAGTATTCTTTGCCACAGAAGTTTGCACAGAGGAGAGGAGAAGGCCCATACTGGTGCTCTGGAGGCGGGGAGGGGTACATGTGACGTGGCTGCCTTGCAAGGGCAACTAGGAGGAGGATGCACTCAGATGTGTCTGCTTTGGTACCCAGCGGGGCTCTACAGAATGGGTCAGGGGTACAGGCATACATGGCATTTCCCACAGACCTTCTGTCACAGCCGAATTTTTTCAAACCAGACACAGGATTTTTGTGATAGCATCACCCCTTCTGATAAATGTCCTCCTTTCCCACAACTCCCAAGCAAGGATTTCCACCTGGGCTTGCCAGATTTGTGCAGCTCAGGTTGCTTCCATTCCTGCTTCTTGTGTTCCTTTTCCACCTGGGAGTGCCCCTCCTTGAACTCTGTCCTGTGCCCACGAGGACCTGTGTCTGCTTCATTTATAGAGCACACAACCAGGAGCCTCTTGGAAGGATAAGGGGAGGCCAGAGGAGGAAGCTTTGGGCAGGTCATAAAGAATAGAGCTGAACCAAGGATGGAGAACAAGAAAAGGGCATCCAGCAGGCCTGGGAGGTTAGGATGGGCTTCAAAAGCCCAGTAACAATGTGCCACGGGCAGAAGAGCGTGGGCGTGAAGTGTCCGACTCTTAGGATGGGACAAGTCATTTTTTTTCATTTTTGGGCCTAGCTCATTCTAGGCAAATGCCAGTCCCTCAGCTCTTCGTTCTATTTTGAGACAGGATCTCTCCAAAGCAGTCCAGGCTGGTCACAAACCCCCTATGTTGCAGACTGGCCTTGAACTGGGTAGTGCTCCTGCCACAGCCTCTCCAGTAGCTGGGATTATCAATGAATAATAGTATATCAGTGAATAACCTAGATCGGTACATTCCATAAGCATCAGTCTCCTCGTTTGTAAAGAAGGGAATTTAAGATCACCCAGTTATCATAATATGATTACAGTGCCATGTTTTATGTGTGTATGGGCATACTGATGCCTTCAGTAAGGATCTGGTGGCGGTTGCAGAAGCTGGGGTAAGGAAGTAACCCAGCCAAGGTGACAAACTGGTGTGAATTAGATTTCTTGATTCCTAGCCCTGGTGCTCAGACCTCCCTGTGTTGGGTTGCAAAGCTGATGCCCCCCCCCCTCTTGTTTCCATGGCAGCCATTCCCCCGAGAGTGGTGGTCCCCTTGGCAGAGGCCTGCTGTGAGGAACAGGGTGATGCTGTCTTTGAATGCACACTCTCCAATCCGTGTCCCAATGCTGCCTGGCATTTCCAGCACCGAACACTGAGGCTCAGTGACAGATATGAAGTCTCTGTGTCCCCTGATGGGCTAACCCACCGGCTGGTTGTGAAGGGGGCCAGTTGCTCAGATATGGGCCTCTACTCGTTGAACACAGGACTCCACGCCTCCAGCGCCTGGCTGGTGGTTGAAGGTGAGTAGCCACACTTCTGAATTCCCCGGCCTTTGCTGGGGACCCAACATGGTCTCAGACTGCGGACAGGAGATTTCCTCTGCTTTGTCATTTGCTTCTGCATGCTCCTCTCACTCAGAGAGAACGAGGAAAGCTCCTTTGATTAACTCTTGATCTAGTACAACACAGCCTCTTCATGCCCAACCAAACCCAGCTGTGTGTTTGCTATTAGATCTTTTAGGGTTACCCTGGGGCCTCAGATACAGGATGACCTCCAGGTCATGGGATAGTGCTTGTGACAGTGATCTAGTTGTGATGTGGATGAGAAGCTCCTGGACCAGGAGATACCCTAGTCCCCCTAAGCATTGTCATCTGGGAGCAACGACCCCAGGAGACTGTGAATTGGCATAGGTGAGGGAGAGGGTAGGACGAGTGGGTCTTCAAAACTAGGGAATCTGGACTGCTCTTCAGTCTTGAGGGGGGGAGGGGAATAGGGGGAGGGGGAGAGGAGGAGGAGGAGGAGGAGGAGGAGGAGGAGGAGGAGGGAAATGGGAAACAGGGAGGAGGGAATTTTTTTCAACAATAAAATAAATAAATAAATAGAAACAAAACAAAACAAAACAAACAAACAAACAAAAACCCACAACAGCCCGAGAAGTTGACAGCTTGACATATGTGTCAAAACCACATGACCCATGTGGCAGCATGGGGTGGGCTGCAGATAACAGGCCTGGGGGAGGAGGTGGCAGGATGCTATCTACCAAACTGCTGGGACAGCCTTGTCTTTTCCTCCCATGGGCAGCTTCTCCACTGGGGAGGGTGGGGACTAGGCAAAGCCGTCATATTAGACAAGGACCTCCTTTAACAAGGCCTTTTCTCTTGTCTCTCTATGGGCTAATGACCTCTGTGTAACTAACACCTCACCGAAGGTGGGAAGGATAAAGGCCCACAGACCACAGATACTGACCACCGACTGCAAACTCCAGATGCTCTGGCCTCAGAAGCAGAAGACTCTGGGGGCATCAGCGATAAGGGAGGGCAATGCAGAGAGCTGGGCTCCGTCAAGGAGACTAGTGGGGCACAGCTCACAGCAGGCCCAGATAGGGGTGCCTTTGACAAGCAGGTGGGAGGTGAAGGATTAGCTAATTCAGCCTGGGGCCCTGGCCAGAACACAAAAGGCTTTCTGGAAAGAGACCCAGGCAGGGTCGCTTTTCCTGGGGACAGTCAGTCCCACAGAGAGGGAGACTGTGGTGGTGGCCCCCCTGAAAGGGGAGGGGACACAGAATTGGGTGTGGGCTTTGTGGAAAGACAACAAGATCATGGCAGAAGTGACAATGGGAATAGCAGATGGGGGACAGCGGGAGGTTGGGAGGCCGGCTCCAGTCACCCTCAGGATGGGAGGCTTGAGAACAACAGAGAAGGAAGCAAGCCCAGAGAGGGTTCTGGCAGTGAGCTGGACATCCATGGCCAGGGACAGCTCCGTGACCCTCACGTGGGAGCTGGGGCAGGCCAGAGGGTGTTGTGGGGATCCCACTCTGATGCTGAGGGGTTTCCACTGAAAAAGGAAGGGACAAAAATGTGGGGTGATCATATGGATGAGATGGAAGGAAGGGGTTACCTGAGCAGGGAGAAAGGAGCAGAGGCAGGATGGACTAGTGGGGCCTGCCTGGGGGATGTGAGAAGCCGCAGTAGGCCAGGAAGTTCTTGCGACCCTGAGTTTCCTAGAGGAAAAGGTCACAGCCCCGAGGTGGGCATGGACCGTGAGTGCTGGGGCATTCAGACAGGTGGAGATACCAGCCATGGAGAAGCTGGGGTGTATAGGGAGGCAGGGGGGTATCCAGGACAGACAACGGCTGGCAATGACACCCAGAAACCATCACTATCTGGAACCAGGAAACTTCTGGGGTGTAGGAGTGGTGAGTCCAAGGATGAGGGCTCTTTGCAAGGGGTAGGCGGTCATGGTTTTGTGGAGAGAGGCTATGAAACTGTCCCCGAGGGTCTAGAAGATCCCAGGGACTGGAAAGGTGGCCTCCAAGAGCTCCAGGGAAGCAATGGTCAAGGCACAGCTGGAGCCTTGGGCAGGACAGAGGAAAGCTCCAGAAATCTCCAGTTTCCTCAGGACTGGATGGTGGGTCAGAGGGACACAGGAGATCCAGGCAGAACGGAGTGTGAAAAGGTGGGTCCTCAGGATGACACGTGGTCTAATCTCAGAAGAACTGGGGCCCACTTTGGGTCCAGAGTGCTGGGGTCTGGTGGGAAGGAAGGGAGCATGGATGATTCCCAAGTAGCTGGACTGATGGTGTCTAGTCAGAAGGTAGATGCTGGAAACCACAGGCTTGTTACATTTCCAGGCCTGGGTGTCCAGGGCTCTGGGGGAACAATGGGGGACATGGGAGGATTAGGAGACCCAGGGGCCATAGGATCCAAACCAGATTTCTGGAATGGGTCAGAGAGATCCAGAGAAAAGGGGTCCAGAGGAGGGATGGACTGCAAGGGGGGCTTGGGTGGTCCAGGGTGGGCAGAGTCTAGGTACGAGGACGGTTCCAGGTACTCTGAAGGCATGGGTTTTAGGAATGGAGCTGCCTATCATGACAGTTCAGGCGTGTTAGATGGAACAGGAGCTGGCCTTGGCATTGTTTGCAGAGCTACCTGTGAGACACCTGCGGAGACAGAGCCTGGGGAATGGGGTACTCACAGGCGCAGTTCTGGGGTGTCTAGGGGACTGTGGTCTGGAAACAAAGATCGGTGTAGTCCTGTAGGAAAGATGTCTGGGAGAGATGCCAGCCTCAGAAATGGCTCGGGTGGCCTTCGTGGAGCTCAGCACTGGGACATATTTCAAGGTCAGGGTCAAGCAGGCTCTGGTGGAGAACACTGCTTGGATGGTGACTTAGGGAGTCCTAGGATGGTGGGCTTTGTGGGCGGAGATGGTGTGAAGTCCCTTGGCACAGTAGGGGCTGTGCGTGGAGACGGTGTGAAGGCCCCTGGGACAGTGGGATCTCTGGGTGGAGATGGTGTGAAGGCCCCTGGGACAGTGGGATCTCTGGGTGGGGACGGTGTGAAGGCCCCTGGGACAGTGGGATCTCTGGGTGGAGGTGGTGTGAAGGCCCCAGGGACAGTGGGATCTCTGGGTGGAGGTGGTGTGAAGGCCCCAGGGACAGTGGGATCTCTGGGTGGGGACGGTGTGAAGGCCCCTGGGACAGTGGGATCTCTGGGTGGGGACGGTGTGAAGGCCCCTGGGACAGTGGGATCTCTGGGTGGGGACGGTGTGAAGGCCCCTGGGACAGTGGGATCTCTGGGTGGGGACGGTGTGAAGGCCCCTGGGACAGTGGGATCTCTGGGTGGAGGTGGTGTGAAGGCCCCAGGGACAGTGGGATCTCTGGGTGGGGACGGTGTGAAGTCCCCTGGGACAGTGGGAGACGCTGGGGACAGACACACGGAAGAAGAATCAGGGAACTTTGGAAAAATACATTCTTGGGGTCATCCTGGAGATTATGAGGGCTTCAAAGTCCTGGGGGCATCTAGAGAAGGAGACTTTGAAGATGGCACTGAGGTTCCATTACCCATGGAACCAGGATCTCTGGGGAGAGGAAACAAGGAAGGAGATGGGGAAAGGATCAGGATCAGAGGTACCAGGACCTCTGGAGCTGGGTCTGGGAATTTGGACAAAGCCAGGCACCCTGAGGCACTGTCTCCTCAGGCTGAGGCTGGCTCTGAAGGTCACTGGGTTCACGTGCCTGGCAATGAATTTGGTTACAGGGATGGATCGGGAATTCCAGAGCCTTGGGGGCCTGGGGACAGAATAGCTTATGGAGATGGGTCAAGGGGTCTTGGTTTTGAGAGAACAGGACTAGATGGTGAAGCAGTATTTAGAGATGGCTCAGAAGGCCTCAGAGGAATGGGACCAGCAGGTGGGGCCAGTTATAAAAATGCAGCCAGGGGCTCTGGGGCCGTGGGATCAGGGTGCCAGGTAGATTATAGGAACGATATTGGGTGTTCTGGAATTGCAGGGTCAGGGAGTGAGGCAGGTTATAAGGATGACTTCCAGGGTCATAGGGTCAGGGAACTCAGGAGTATAGCAGGTCACAAGAATTGTTTAGGAGTTTCTGAAATTATTTCATCCAGGGACTCAGCCAGTTATCGAGGTGGTTCAGAACATTCTGGAGAGATTTTGTCATGGAATGAAGCAGATTTAAAGGATGGTTTGAGGGAAACAGGAAGAGCAGAATCCAAGAATGAGGTTGGCTATAGTGGAAGCTCAGTGGGGCCTGAGAAGATGAGACCAGAGAGTAAAATGCACTGTGCAGATGGTTCAGAAAGGCAGGGAGGGCCAGGGCCACTGGCTGCACCCTGCGAATGTGAATCCATGGGTCTTGGGTCAGGATTCGGGGTAGCAGCAGAGGTAGGCACAAGCTCCAAGAACGAAGCAGAAAAGGGCAGAGGGATGGGGCTTGCAGATGAGACAAGGCCTGGGGTAGGCTCTGGGGTGACTGGGGTGCTGGATACTACAGGTGGCATCGCACACAGGGACGGTGCTATGGGCCATGGGAAGCTGGGGACACCAGGGAGGTCATGTATCTTTTCAGGTGGGCAGAATATCAACAACAGTCTTGGGGGCTGTGAACTCTCAGGAATCCCTGAAGACTTGGGTGCTATTGTTTCTGTGGGGAAATCAAGTATCAGGGAATGGAAAGATGGTTCTGTGTTTCTGGGATCTCCTAGAAATAGTGGGACTCCCAGTGGGGAGGGAGGTTCTGTAGACCAAGCAGCAGCTGTGGGGACTCCTAGGAGAGGTGGAGGGACAGTGGGGGGTGAAGGTGGGTCCGAGGTAGCTATTCTGGAGTCAGGAAATGATTCAGACTTTAGTAAATTAGGCTTGGGGACAACAGGCAGGTATAGAGTTGCTGGCCAGGGGGAAACAACACCTCAGGGATGTGGAGACTCCCTGAAAAGCAGGAGGAGGGGAACCAGTTCTCTGGGCTTGTCAGGGCCAGGTCAGGTGATAGACAACAGCTCTGCTCCTGGGAGAGAGACCAAGTCAATGTTGGGACCTGACAGTGGGCAAGATATGGGTCACATTCGGGCTCCAGGCTGGGAAGACCAGGTTCAAGGCAGCTTCGGGACTTCTAGCTCACTGGGGAAGAATTACACAATTTCCAGGCAAACCCAGGAGGAACAAGGAATCTCTAAAGGCAGGGGATACGCAACAGGCCAGGAGGCTGCTGCTGAATGTGAAGGTCCGTGCTCTTTGGAGAGCAGAGGCTCGGGTTATAGAAGGGGCAGGGTTGGTTGGACAGAGGACTCAAGTGTCCTAGGTGGAAGGAATTCTGCTATGGGTGGAGGTGGTGTCATTTCAATACCCCAGGGGCCCCAGGATAAACTGGATAGTCCACTAGGCAGAAGGGACTTCAGACGTGTATCAGGAGGAATCCAGGAGCCAGGTTGTCAACTAGCAACAGGACAGGGAGATGGACGAGGGTCCCTCCAGGAGTGGGGGTCCTGGGAGGCTAAGAATGGCAAAGTCCAAGGATCCAGGGCCTCAAAGAAGTATGACGGGCATTGGGGGAAAGGCCCTGGTGGGTTAGGCAGGAGGTCTGGTCCCTGCGGAAGCAGGTATCAGGCACAGTTTGGAACTGAAGTTGAATCAGCCAAGAGAGGTGCTATAGAGAGGGCCAGAGGCCTGGGGCATTGGACTAGCATTGAGGACAGAGGATCTCTGGGAGAAGCTTGGAGTGAAGATGGGAGGCCAGACCCCCACAGGCATCTTGGCAGCAGGAGAGATACCCAAGAGGGCAGGTCGGATGTCTGTGGCCAGCGACAAGACGCTACCCAGAGCCCCAGATCCAGATACAAGCCTGGCCCTGGCTCTTCTACAGAGGCACGAGGTAGGTACCCCAGCTGGTGGTTCTCTTAGGGTGGAGCCAGAGGGCAGGGTTGCTTGGTACTGGGCTTCCCATGTGCCATTTCTACCTTCAGCACAGGAACTCGTCTCTACCACTGCCTCCATTTTCTAGAACCCCTTGCAAATTCAGACAGCAGTCTCTCCTTTCCCTCCCCATGCAAAAGGAATCCAAGTTGTGTGGAACTCAAAGGTCCTCTGGGCTGGTTAATCTTGGAACCCTTTGTCCAATGTCCCAGAGAATTAGCCTGCCTCTGTGACTCAAAATTCCTATCTGTGGGACCCAGGGGTGGGAGATGCTCTTCATCTACTTTACAATCATCTCCGTATCAGCGTCAGCCCAGGTACTGGGGAAAACAGGAGACTGGGCACTGGTTCGGGCTGAGCCCCGTGGGCAGGACCATGGAGGCCTTCCAGAATTCAATGCAGGCCAGGGCGTAAGAGGCTGGACTTTGGGGACTTTGTGTCTCTCCAGGCTCCATGGACCACTTCTCTCAGGGTCTGGTTGATACAGAGGTGCAGCTGGGGGAAGCTGCTGTACTTTCCTGTACCCTCACTAGTGACCTGGGACCTGGCACCTGGTTCAAGGATGGAGTCAAGGTACTGAAGCCTCATCCCTCCATCTTTTCTTTCCTAACTAATGTGGGTGGGGGCAAGGAGCGTGGCAGAGCAGAGACACAGAAGGAAAAGACTAGGTAGGGTTTTCACTCTTCAATTACTAACATTTCTACTCTGAGAGGTGTTTAAACAGCTGGAGTGTGGTGTGTTCAAAATAAACACATTATAAATGTGTTACTTGTTCCAGCCTTGACCCAGCCCCTGCTGGCCTCCCCCCCCCCCCCCCCCGCAGCCCAAATGCCCCTCTCATGAATTCCACACACCCTTGAAGGCCTTGCACAAGTGTATCGTCTCCTCCTGAGCAGCTGGGCTCACTGGTCTCCTAGAGTAGCCTCTCTGCCCCGCCAGCATGGCACAGTGATGTCAGTGAACTCTGACCCCTGATCCCTGCTCTGCTGTTACGGGTTATGTGACCTCGGACGAGTTCCTCAGCTATAAAATGGAACTTCTAACAGCACTGATCTCGAAAGGTGCTCTGGAGAGTTAGAGGGGGTGCGAGGCACAGCAGCCAGTGGTGATGATCATTTAGTTCCCAGGGCAGCTGTTAGGAGCAAACTGGACAGGATGGGAGCGGCTGTCTCCATGGTGATCCTTGTCTCCAGCTCCCTGCCGGCGATGGGGTCGTGCTTGAACAAGATGGGCTCACACACAGGCTGATCCTCACCCACGTGGAGGGGACCCAGGCTGGGAGATACACGTTTGTGGCCGGCAGACAGCACACTGAGGCCAGCCTGGCTGTGCAGGGTGAGGCCCAGCCCTTCCCTGCCCCATAATCTCTGCATCAGCTGAAAATGACCCTCTGTGGAAGCCCGGAATTTGTGACTTGTCTCCAATATCCTCAGATTTTTTTTTTTTTTTTTTTTAATGAAGCCAACCCAAGTCTTTCCCAACCCAATATCTTATCTCCTTCTTTACCAGGAAGTTCTTGGTGAGGTCTGACCCTGGTCCCTCCTGCTGCAGACAGCCCATTCCCTTTGCTAGTCCTCATGAGGTGGGGTAGGGAATTCCTTCTCTGGGCTCTTTCCGAGATTCCCAGGGTCCCAGGGCTTGGTTTTCTCTGATTCTTTTGTTCTGTTTTTTTTTTTTTTTTCCAGATCCCCCCACCATTGCCCCAGATGTGACAGAGACACTGAGAGAGCCCCTGGTGTTCAAGGCTGGGAAGCCAGTGGTTGTGAAGATCCCCTTCCAGAGCCACCTCCCTGTTCAGGCTGTGTGGAGGAAGGACGGGGACGAGGTGGTGGGCAGCAACCGCAGGGGCATCCAGGTGGCTCTGGGGGATGGCTACACGCGACTGTGCCTCCCCAGTGCGAGCCGGAAGGACAGTGGTCTGTACAGCGTGACACTGAGCAGCGAGGGAGGCTGCGTGCAGGCTGAGTTCACCCTGCAAGTTATAGGTGCTAACCCTGCCTGTTCTCCACCTGAGGCCACAGGGCTCTGTGGTCCCAGGCCCTCCCCGGTACTTGGTGCAGGCCTGGGGGTGGACCCTGCTATCCTGACCCTCATTTGCATGGTAGTTAAGATTCAAACCTCTGCTTGCTTACATTGCTGTCCCCAGATGGCCCAGGAAGAAGAGTTTAGATAAGCCAGTGCCAGGTTGGTGGAGTACCTTGTTGAGCCTCTGTAAGCTCTCATATTCCAAGTTCCGGGGAAGATGCTCGGTGGAATAGTGGCCTCCAACTTGTACCCGTAAAGTTGGATCCCCTATAGCAGAGTGCTAAGCAGGAGCCTATGCTGCTCACTGAATGGGGCTGGGTACAGGTTGGAGGTTTTATGGTATCTCCTAGGGCAGGACTGGGGAAATAGAGATGAGGGACACCGTGAGACATTTGGAACCTCCTCGTGAGCTGGCTCCTCACCTCTGCCTCTGGCTATGTCAGAAAGCATGCATATTCTGGGGAGTCCACCCTTTGCAGACTTATCCACCAAGGAGGGGTTAGTAACACGCCCCCCCCTCCCCAGTTTCTCTGACTCCTTTTTCCTTCTCTTCCTCTCCATGGGTCTTCAGACAAGCCCCAGCCCCCGCAGGGACCCCTGGAGGTACAGGATTGCCACAGAGCAGGCGTCTGTCTCTGCTGGCGGCCCCCAAAGGATGACGGGGGCCAAGCCATACAACACTATGTGGTGGAGAAGCGACAGGCTGGAAGGAGCACTTGGCTGAAGGTGGGCGAACCCCCACCGGACAGTACCAGCTTCACCGACACCAGCGTGGAGCAGGGCAGGAAGTATGCCTTCCGTGTACGGACTGTGACCTCAGAAGGAGCTGGGGATGCCCTGGAATCTGAGGAGGTGTTGGTGGCTCCTGAGGGTGAGAGACCAGGAGGCACTTGGACAGAGGACTCCCTTGCCCTCTCTACTGTGCCCAGAATACAGACTGAGGGGTTGCCAGTTGTGCTTGGGGGCGGGAGGGCTTGAGGCCTTCGTAGAGCATAGTGGATACTCTTTACTACAGCTGATTTTGGGATCTAGTAGCCTTTTAGAGCTCTTTCAAATTGAGACACACAGCCACCCCCGCCCCCAAGGACTGCATATTGGCCAACATCTCTATCACACACCCCTGTACTGGAGCAAGCTATCAGTGGGTGAGGTTAGGAATCTCGTAAGTGGCTCTAGACTCCAAGGCCAGGGAGCGTGCTCTGTTTCATCATCTCTGTCCCGGAGCAGCCAGAACGGTGTCCTAGGGAAAGCTGGCTCAGCACTGGAACTCCTGGAGAGTGGCTGAACCACCAGACTCCCCATGCCTTCTCCAGCACTACGACCTTCCATGGGCTGGTGCTTGCCTCAATCTCTGCTCATTGGCACCCTTTGCCTTCAGCTCTCCCAGGGCCCCCGTCTGCCCCAGACATCTTGTCGGCCTCCAGCCAGAGCATCACTCTAACATGGGTGGCACCACAGGGCCCCGGCAGTGCCCACATCTTGGGTTACCTGGTTGAGAAACGCAAGAAGGGGAGCAACACCTGGATTACTGTGAACGAGCAGCCTGTGGCAGGTGAGATGACCTGGGGGCCTCTTCTCACTGACCCCAAGTTGCCTTAAAGCCCCTCCTGGTTCCAGACGGGATCCCTCTGCATTGCTGGTGCAGATCAGTTTAACGCAGTTGCTTTTCAGCTAGGGTGGTTTTGTCTCCATAGGGGACATTTAGCGATGTCTAGAGCTATCTATGATAGTCACAGTTGGGTGGAGAATACATAGTCCTGACAACCTGTATGAAGAGGCTAAGGATGCTACTGAACATCCCACCCCCAAACCCCAGAGAATCATCCAGAAAAGTCTCTCAACAGTGCCGAGCTTGGGATCCTCTGGGGTAGAAGTCTCAGACTGGAATCCAAGGTGAAGTTGTCCTCCCTGGCCCCTTCACTTCAGGCCTTGGCCATGGGCAGCCCACGTCCTCTGCAGAGCTCAGCTTCCTCACTGATAACACAGATGGACGTGCCCTGACCTTGTAGTTAGCATCCCAGAAACTAGCTGCTCCCTGAGATAAGGAAGAACCTGGAAAAGACTTAGGATGGGACAGGTGTGAAGGACGTTTCCAGAACTCTGTGCGTGTCTGTGCTCTGTGTGTACCAAGACCGGGCTAGGAATAGATTGTCAGGAGTCCTGCAATGTCCATGACACGTAAGAGCGCATGTCTTCACATCTCTAGAGCACCACTTAGTATTTATGTATTACAAGTCTGAAGCAGCTTGAATCAGAAACAACAAAACAACATCAAGGATCACCCAGCAAGGTTGCGGCAGGGACCGACAGGACGGGGATGAAAACTCCCTGACCACTGCTCTGTTCACCTTGGAAGCAGCTCTGTCACATCTGGCTGGTGCAATGCTACGCAGGAGGGTTGTCTTAGACCCCACGCTTGGTCCTCTTCTGAATTTGGAGGTGCTGAGCTATGGCCCCATTTCCTCATCCCACCATGGGTGACTAAAATGGGGTGTGGTCTCCGCAGAAAGGAGGTGCACCGTGGTGGATCTGCGGCAGGGCTGCCAGTATGAGTTCCGGGTTAGGGCTGTGGCTCCCTCAGGCCCCGGAGAGCCTGGGCCTCCGTCGGATGCTGTGTTTGCTCGAGATCCCAAGAGTAAGTAAGGAACCAATTGAGGATATGGGGGAGGGGTGTGCAAGGTATAGCTCTGAAACTGTGAGACAGAAGTTCACAGGGCAGAGGCAGTCCAGAGGGAGACGGTGAAGAGGGCTGGGAGTCAGGGTTGAAAGGCCACTAGGATGAGATGTATCTTAAAGGGTCTAAACTTAATTCAGATGGGTCCAGAGGCCAGACATGAGGACTTCCCAAGATCATGGTATCTGCTGTGTGATACAGAGAAGGTCAGTCTCCATGTTAGCCCAAAGGTGTCCCCCACCCACTAGTGGGTGGTCTCATGCCTGGGGAATGGGTGGCAGGAAGCTTCCGTTTTCTACCGAATTCATGCTGTTCACCCCTTGTAAGGTGGCAAGCATTGCTCCAAGAGCTAGGTGCCCCATCCCAGTCTCTGTCTTCGGTGGACAGACAACCTAGACCAGCTTTCCCCTATCTGTGGTCTCAGTAGCATCAGAGATGCCAAGAAACATTCTCTGGACAACAGAAATATCAAAGGGTCTGACATTAAAGACAGGTATGAGGCCAACTTCTCACGCGTCCATCCCCACAAGAAAGACACCTTGGTTCAATCCCTTCAGCTTCAAGTAGAGAATACTTCTCATGAAACCCCTATTAAAAGCTGTGCTCCAAGACACAGAGTTTAGAAGGTTTAGCTGTGCACCTCATAGAAGCCTGCTGGTCAAGTCACCAAGGCAACAACACACTGGAGGCACTTGTGGAATCAGCTGTGTGACTGACTCTTGGCACAACTCCAATAACCATAGACTATTCTATAAGCTTACAAGGGATGGGGAGGCGAGCTAGCCCATGCACTTTTCCTTGCAAACAGACCAGATCTATCTTGTTTCACCACTGATCACTGGCTCTCTCACTAATCGTGGGGAATGCAGCAGCCACAGCAGTTGGCCGTATCTTCCAGACCTACCAGGAGCAAAGGCTGTAGACAGGAAATGTCACTTGGGATCATTCTTGTAGAATCTCAGGCCCTATGTAGTGAGGCACACCTGCAAGCCTCACACTAAGGCGCTGGATAGGTGACACACATTTTAGATAGACAGATACATACAAACATACGTACATACATACACATATGCAGACAGGTAAAAGGAAGGAAAGAAGGAAGAAAGAAAGAAAGAAAGAAAGAAAGAAAGAGAAAGAAAGAAAGAAATGAATATTTTGGGCTTCACCTCAGAACTCCCAAATTAAATGTTTTTTTAATGAAGTCCCCCAATGATTTGAGTACATATTCAAGGCTGAGAAGCACTCCCCCAGACCAGTAGTTTTAAACATCACCACATGCTTAGAAATACTAGGGCTTCCTTACCAATCCTGGTGCCTCTGCTGTACCCAGGCTAAATAGATAGAGGGCTGGTATCTCACAGAGAGTTTAATGTACATCCGGCCTGGACAGCCAGAACACCACGCCACAGTGTTATATTCAAACCACATACACGCCATGTCTTTTTCTTGTCCCAGGGGCCCCATGGGTAGGCAGAGCTGCTGCTGTTCCCGTTTAACAAACAAAGAACAAGAAAGCCGTGCTGGTGTTGCTCCTAGCTAAGAGTCACAACTCAGCTACAGACATAGAACTCCAGACCCCAGAAACAATGGAGCACAAAAGATTATCAACTAAAATACCAGCTTTCCAGGATAGTTAGGGGTTGGCAAGTTGGTGGGTGAGCAAAGGAGTTAGCTAGGGACTCACATGCAGAGCTGGGATACCATGCCAAGAAACCCCTAAGTAAGAGAAATCCCAAGCCCCTGGCAGGAAGACTCCCCGGGGAAGCTGACACATTCCTGAAATCTTGACCAGGACCTCCAGGGCCTGTTCGGGATCTCCGGGTCACAGACACATCTAACACCAGCGTCACCCTGAGCTGGACGAGGCCAGACACCCAGGATGATGATGAAGTCCAGGGTTTTATCGTGGAGTTGTGTGGCTCAGACAACCTTCAGTGGAGCCCATGCCATGTGGGCACTGTGCCAGGCACCACCTTTACAGTCAAGGGGCTACGGCCCCAAGAAGGCTACTTACTGCGGGTGACCGCAGTTAATGATGGGGGCCATGGGCAAGCCACTTGCCTGGACTCATTGGTTCACGCCATGCCTGCTGCTGGTGAGTGTCACCTCCTTCTCCACCCTGAGTGCTAGTGACTCTTCCTGAGAGGCCCTGCTGTTCAGCCATCAGCTGCCTTCTTAATAGAGGGATGGCACTGAGCCCTGCGCCAAGTGCACCCCTCTTAGGACTGCTTTCTCATTGCAGCCCTGTCCTACATAGTTAATATTTTTGATCCCTAATTTTCAGAGATGGAAACAAAGGTCCAAGATGCTTTGCCCAAGACATCTCCATTGTTATGACGCAGGGCTAGAATTGAAAGCAAGTGGCTCCGAGGCATGGGCGTTACTTAGAGGTGGCACATGCCCAAGCTCCCTGTTTTTGCTAGTTGATCGTGTTTCTCTTTGGGCCTTAATTGCTAGAAGTAAATCCTCTCTCTGTCTTTCTGAGCTGTACTAACTCGCCCTAGCGGTCACAGAGGCAATAAAAAGGCAATTGCAATGGAAAGCTCAGAGCTCCCGAGTCCAGGATCTTAGACTCTTGTCCTAGCTCTGTCCCTGACTTGATATGACCAGGAAGGTCATTCTCTGACCCAGGCTAATGGTATCTCAGACAACAATGTAGTTGTCCCCGGGATCCTTGCTCCAAATACCCTGCAGACTAACCCTGGTGGCAGCCTTGTCTGTACTTCTGACCCTCTCAAAAGACTGCCCCTGTAAGCTCCTGGTGTTTCTCCCCCATGTGCCCTGCCAAGCCCTCTCTATCTGGCCCTTACACTGGCTCAGCTTTCTGTCTACATGCTGGGTGACCTGAACTGGAAGCCACTGTGGAGAGAGGCGACAAGCCATTTTGTGTGTTCTAGTCTTTCCCAAGTTCCTCATGGACTCCAGTACAATGGATACACTGACCGTCAAAGCTGGGGACAGCATTCGAGTTCCTGTCTCCTTTGAAGTGAGTATACCTGGAAGGGTGTGTGGTGGGGCGTGGGGGCCCCAGAGGAACCAGAAAACTAGACAGTCTTGGGGATACCTTTCTTCCTCATTCTTTTTTAGCCCTAGTCACAGTCGTGGGCTTGTGTGGGAAATCAGGCCCAGTGTAACGAGGGTAGGAAACCTCCAAGAAAAGGGTTCTTGGAGCCACAGCTGGCATCAGCTTCTTGGACGCCATTCTACTTTCCTGTACAGAATACACTCCCCTCTAGTGGTAGCTTCTGATACTGCACCTCCACATTAGCACCCCCCTCCCCTCCCCATCATTCATCTTAGTCTGGGGCCTACCCGAGCCCAATAGGGTGCATAACCATTTTTGTCTTTAGAATGTATTTTTATGCACATGATCCTAAGCCAATATCAGCAGCACCTGTCTGTACGTACAGTAACTAGTGTTGTAGTTAAAAACACAAACTGCTCCGTGTCATCATCCCGTCACTAGTTTGACTCCGGACGATATCTTATACCTCGGTGTTTAAATTTCCTCATCTCTCAAACAGTGTGGAGATGTTTCATCCCACTCCCCCCCCCCCCCCCCCGAGCTGACCAAAAGGCTGAGACAGTGATAGTAGTAACCCAGGCCTCTTCTCTGCGCTTTCTGTGTGGTGCTAACTCACAGCCTGAACACTTAGGATCCTGATCCCTCTCTGAGATCAGATATACAACGTGGAGAAATCAGGCCAGGCCTCCCTGCAGTTTGGCCCTTTAGACAATGTGGACAGTTCTTGCTGTGAGTACACAGATCTCAAAAGGAAAGGGAAAGCAAGCTGGGCCCCCAAAGACAGAAAACGCAGACCATCTCCTGGGGAGGATTTCTCTAGAGCGTTGCCTCCTCATGCTGACCCTGGTGGAGACTGACTTGGTGGCTGACTCTCCTGCTCTCATTTTAAACTCTCTCTCCTAAATGTCCCCACAACCGTAAGGCCCACGTGCTGCCTCTGGCATACAATATCACCCCTCTTAATGCCTTTCCCACCGGAATCCTTGATCGTGACCCTTGTGACAAGGGTCTCTCTCAATTAAGCTCAAGGGCAATGTCATGTCAGCTCCTTCCCTGAACCTGCCATCTCCTCTCCTTGACCGTCATCACAGTTCAAGGCGAGGCTGCATCTTCTACTTTCTGCAGCCTTCCTCTCTCTTGCAGCAATTTCCAACTCATCCTCTAGCTTGCTCGGGCACTGGGGAGGGAGGACCCCTTCCCAGTTAGTCTCCTCTCACTTCCACCCCGTAGCCCATGTGAATCCAGAGCTGCCGTACTGTCCTGGGAACATCTAACATGGCAGCATGCTCAGAGAGAAATCTAGATGTCTGCGTGTGTGGGACTGAGGGTCAGCACAGTGTCACGGAGTCTCCGGGCTAAGCTTCCCTTCCTATCCCATCATCCCATGCACCTACGGGCTAACCCCACACTTAACCACCTCTCCGACAGCCTATTCCTAACCAGATACTTGTTCACCTCCAAGTGCTCGGGCACATCCCTCCTGCCTAGCATCCTCTTCCTGACCTTCTATGTTAGGCCCAGCCTACCTGCTTTCGGTTTTACAAGATTTCCTCCATAAAGAACAAGGATGGGGAGGAAGGAATCACAAAGGACAGGAGCAAGCGAGGCTAGTGGCCTTGAGGGAAGAAAGAAAATAAGATCTCTCTCTCTCTCTCTCTCTCTCTCTCTCTCTCTCTCTCTCGTGCGTGTGAGAGAGAGAGAGAGAGAGAGAGAGAGAGAGAGAGAATGCATGTGATATGAAAGCAGGAAGAGGCTGATATCAGGAAGATACAGTGATAAATATGCAATAAAATGTCACAATGAAACTCATTATTTTATATGCTAACTAAACAATTTATTTGAACAGACACTTTAAAAAAACAAAGAAACTTTCTCTTCTCAATGTGTCTTTGCTCTTGTTTCTCAGGCTGCCCCCATGCCTGAGGTGACCTGGCTGAAGGATGGCTTACCCTTGCCCAAAAGAAGTGTGACCACCGTGAAGGATGGCCTTGCCCAACTTCTGATTCCTGCAGCTAGCCTCTCGGACCGAGGCCAATACACTGTGATGCTCAGAAACCTACAGGGGAAGGAGGCCACCTACAGCTTCTCCATCAGTGTGGCAGGTGAGGCCAGCTCAGCTGTGGACTCTTACTAAGGCTGCAGCTGACCTGGGCACAGGATGTTGTCCTGAACATGGAAAGTGATCACATGGCTGACCGGATGTGTCGAAGACACAGCAAGCAGGGCAGGAGGAGAGTCCCAGAAAGCCCCTGTTGTTCTTATCCATACACGTGGGGACGCCACATCCTTGCTTCTTCCCTGCTCTTCTTTTGGGTTCCAAGAATGAATGTGGGTCCCACCATTGCATCACTGAAGGACCCCATGGGAAGACCATGACCCTTGTGCAAGTTAAGGTTGTCCCTTCCTGGAGTGACTCTCATTCCCCAGCCCTGAATAGCCTCTCATTTTATAAAAAATAAAAAAAGAAAGAAAGAAAGAAAAAATGTGAGCTAATAAGTATTATAATAAGTATTCTTTGGAAGTCATCTGTGGTGGTGAGTACTTATAGTCCCAGGCTTGGGAAACTGAGGTAGAATCCAGAGTTAAGGATAGACTGGGTTATGGTGGGTGAAACCCTGTCTCAAAAGAAAAAAAAAAGATTATTCTTTGGGGGAGATTTTCCACCCTATAGAGAAAATTGTATACCCAGACTTAGCTCCCTCTGGCCTCTCGCCTGACTGGCAGCACTGCATTCTGCAGGAACCCCCAGAGAACTTGGGGGCCTGTAGAAGACTTAGCAGAATTTCTGTGGCTCCTCTGAAACATAAGGTCTCTGTCTCTCTGTCTGTCTTTCTCTTTGGCAGCATGCCCACAGGCACCGGGACCCGTCTCCTTGCAGGAGAATGTGCCCGGGACAGTGACGGTCCAATGGGAACCCTCTCCGGATGAGGCTCAGGGCATCCCCTTGTACTATACGGTGCTGAAGCGCTCCTCGGCTCACGGATCCTGGTGTGAGGTGGCCAACCGTGTCCACACCAACCGCTTCACCCTCCTGGGGGTCCTCCCTGGCCATGAGTACCACTTCCGGGTGCTGGCCAAGAATGAGCTGGGGGCCAGCAAACCTTCAGACACCAGCCAACCCTGGTGTATCCCCAAGCAGAGAGGTAAGGATCCCCCCAAAAGGGAGGAGCTTAGCCGTCTGCCTCTATGCTTAGGGTAGTTGACTGGGTGAAACCAGGGCATTTCAATCTAGTCAGATAGGTAGGTAGTGGTCATCCTGCTACCTGCCCAGTGCCTACTTGTACAGATGCCCAGTGCATTGAATTCAGGATGGGCCCCACCCCCACTGGCAGAAAGAGTCAGGCCATGGGTATTGGAATGTCTAGAGACCTAGGGGTAAATTCTCAAAAAGGAATTGTGAACAATAAGTTAAAAATAGAAGTTCATATTTCTCTAAAAACAAAGTCTATTTTATAAACTATTTTATACTCTTTAAAGACATAGATCTTTAAAGAGGTCACTAGAAAAATAAGATTACAAAGCTAGCTGTATCATTTCACTTCTCAAAAATACAAAAATATCTGGAACATTCTACACCAAAATGTTGGTTCTAGTCATCTATATGTATGTCTGATTTGTACACAATAAATTTAAAAGGTTCTAATAATTTAAAAAAATCAAAGCATAACTTTAGGAAAAGGATAAAAAGAGTGCTGGTTTGTACGGATGAGGTGCGGGAAGTCTCAGCTTCTGGGCCATCGGCAGACAGCGGACTCTCTGGGTCCCAGTCAGGCCTTCCTGGCTCTTTAACCATCCTTCCTTCTGTCCTGAATTCACCACAGAGAAGTTCACAGTGAAGGCTCCAACGTACCGGGAACCCAACCTGAGCCAGAAGCCCCGCTTCCTGGTGGGTCTGCGGGCTCACTTGCTGCCCCAGGGCTGCGAGTGCCGCATGACCTGCGCCGTGCAGGGCTCGCCGAGTCCCCGCGTCACCTGGTTCAGGAACAACCAAAGCTTGGACAGAAACCCCGCGCTGTACAGTACTGACATGCTGGGTGTGTGCTCCCTCGTTATCCCCAGTGTGTCCCTTAAGGACAGTGGCGAGTACAAGGCTGTGGCCGAGAACCCACTGGGTCAGGCCGTCAGCACAGCCACCCTCATTGTGACAGGTAATAATGGCTGCCCTGGCAGGGGAGCGCATGGGCATGGGAACAGAAAGGGCCCGTCTCCTCTAGATGACTCAGCTGGTACACCATGAGACTCGGATTCCTCCCTGCCTCTATGCGTATTCTATCATGTATTTAAGCCGACCATCACAGAACCTCCTGGGGTTTGATTTGCCCATTTGTAAAATGAGATATTGACTACATTATGGGCACATACTACCCAGCTGATTGTCCCCACGTGGCCTGGCACATGTCTCAGGATGGGATTTAAGATACTTGCTCTGCAAATGCTTTTGCACCTGTGTCAGACAGGTATTTAAAAGAGGATGCCGAGCCTCTGATAGGTGGGCTCCTTTCAGCAAAGCAAATAATACATGCGGATAAGAAAACGCTTTGGTGGCACTGGGTCATCCCGTCACACCCAGAATTGCAGTCTTCACAATGGGACAGGTGTGGGCGGGGACACCGCACTTCAGGATCATCTGACATATTCCCTGTCTTACAGAATACAACTCCTAGCCCCACTTGACCTGGAATCCTAGCCTTGCCCCACCCCACAGCCCTGAGACGGATGTCAGCTCTCTGAAGCTTTACTCCTGATGCCCACACTGGCCTGGGGAGCCAGTCCAGAACGACAGTGGATGTTCCTGTGTGAGACAGGAACAAGAGGGCTTCTGGTGAGATGTGACCAGAAGGGCCAAAGTCGATGGGGAAGTAGAAGAAGGGTGGGGGGTGTGGTATTGAGTGGAATCACTCTGGATGGAGCGCCAGAGAAAGTGGTCCACGGGGTGGAAGCTGAGCTCACTCTGACCACAGGAAAGTCATGGAGGATGGAGGCCTGGGTGAGGGCATCAAGGATTTGTGTATGGAATTCTTTCTGTTCTTCAATAAAGCAGCAGACTAAGAACGGTGAGTTCTTTGCAGAGTGACTTGGGGATGGTAGGTTGGAGGAAGAATCCCCAAAACAAAGGCCTCTGAATGGAGGATGGGTGGGCTCTGGCTGGGTGTGTGTGTGTGTGTGCGGGTGTGTGTGTGTGTGTGTGTGGTGTGTGTGGTGTGTGTGTGTGTGTGCGGGTGTGTGTGTGTGTGTGTGGTGTGTGTGTGGTGTGTGTGGTGTGTGTGTGTGTGTGCGGGTGTGTGTGTGTGTGTGCGTGCGTGTGTGTGTGTGTGTGTGCGGGTGTGTGTGTGTGTGTGGTGTGTGTGTGGTGTGTGTGGTGTGTGTGTGTGTGTGCGGGTGTGTGTGTGTGTGTGCGTGTGTGTGTGTGTGTGTGCGTGCGTGCGTGTGTGTGTGTGTGTGTGTGAATCAGAATAGTGCTTGCCTGCAGCAGGGCAAAAGAACTCCTTTTTCCTGGCCCGTACTTCCCATATGCCACTGTCCTGCAAAAACTCTGGCATCGGCAGGATATAAGCCTCCCTAAAAGTGTGTATAGAGACTATGAGCCACTTGTCCCTCCCTGGAGCCAGGAACAGGCTGGACTGAGGTGAATTCTCCTGCAGTCTACTCTGGGGGTTCCTGTCAGCAGGGATGGGGAGATTATCAAGTGCACAAAGATTTGTTTTTCACGCAAGGCTCCATGAAGCCTTCTCAGTTTTCCCATAGTTTCACTGCCCCATGCCACAGGTAGGATGGGATCATCTCTGTGTGAGCCACCACTACCAAAACCTACAGGTATACCTATATGCCCGCATACCTATACCTGCACCCTCCTGGAGGGATGGTCCTGTGTCTCTGGACACCCAAGAAATGAAATGTTCCGGAGTTTGCAGGGGCCGGAGTACCGCACACCGTGGTCCCGGTCTGCCCTCTATGTTCTAGACCCCAGTTTGCAAACTTCGGGCAAGGGGCTGGAGGTTGAGAACAAAGACGCAGAGACAGACCGGCATGCAGACCTTTTAACACTGATACCAAAGCCCCTCTTTATTAGCACCACGTAGGCTTAAATACACTGCAGTCAATGGCCAACAGGTGAAAATCCCATCCTCTGATCCTCTAAGCTAGGCACAGCTTCTAGCACAGCTTTAATTAGAAGGTTCTAGGAGGGAAGAACAGCTGAAGACCAGGACTCAGTCCCAACACCGGAGGAAGGAGTGAACCCTGGAGAAGGTCAAGCCCGCCTTCTCCCAGGATGTTTAAACCAGGTCCGATAGATTACCCGACAAGAGGGCACCCAATCTGCTCGGCCTACCCTCTCTCTAATCATGGGCTCCCCTTCACCCAAATTCGTGGTAGACTTGAGCAGAAGAAACAGAAGTCGTCGATCAAGGGGCTGGGAGTGGGTGTTGAAAGGAACTGACAGTGTGTGGTTGAGTTGACGGTTCCACTGGGGATGTCCCCCACGGGCAGGAATGCCAGAATGCCTTTGTACAGACAGGCTGTGATCCATTCCTGCCCTCACCGAGGAAGCTACCTCTGCCTTGTGATTGTGACAGTCCAAGAAAGAAGGAAATTCTGGGAATTTGAGTTCAGGCTCCATGTTTGCGCTGCGAGCACTTTATCTACCAAGTCATCTCCACGGCATCCGAAAAAAATTCACTAAAAGGTATTCCATTTCATACGACATAGAGAGCCAACCTAGAAATACCCCCAAGGACACATCACCGTCAGATGGACAATCTTCGGTTATATATCTTGTTGTAATAACAGAAGTAATACCACACCATACCTCTCAAACCCACCCCCAGTTCTGTGGCGTCCCTGCTCAGGCATCAAGTATTGCATGGATTTTCCCGAGGAGTCTATTTTTATTCATCCTGGATAGAGAGGGCAACCGCTAGCCAAATAAGCGGTTCTGTCCCAATTCTAGTTTGGTGAACAAAAACTAGATAGGGTTGCCTACAGGAGCATGATCACAGTACTGATGAAGAGCCCCCCATCACTAACTCCTGGGGATGGGGATTCATGGATCTCTGTGCCTGTGTGTTTCATGCCTGTTGTGAGCCCTTCTGTCCTTCCATGAGAGAATGTTAGTGTCCAGCCCTGTGAGGGTTTTATGAGAGTAATCAGAGCCGTTCGATTTCCATATGACCATGGCTATGCCAGGCCCAAAGGACTCAGTTCCATAACACAGACTACTAAAAGGATTCAACAGGAAGTCTGGATGAGAGTATCTAACTAAAAATAGTTTATATTTCCAGAATCACCAGAAATCAACTAGAAAGTATCACTTTAAAAAATATTGCTACTTTAGGTAGCAACAAATACATGAAACACCCTGGACTAAATAGAAGAAAAGATGAACAAAATCCACATGGAGAAACAATAAGCCACGAATACATGGATATACTATGGATGGGAAAGTAATATTATAAAGGCAGTGGGATCACCTAGGAAGATAACTAATCACTTTGGGAATCAATATCTCATCCACAGCTGAGTGCGGGAGTGGCATTGACGATGATAATCTTGTTATAAAACGGGAGTGCGAGAGGCTTGGGCTCAAGGTTAACGGCCCAGCCTTTCTGGCTCTTATTCCAATCCATGTTTGTCCTCCAGTCTGGTTGCCCATGCAGTATTTGCTCTCTGCTCCGAGCACTGGTCGCTGCTCCTTGCCTTAACCTCTTCCTCCTAGTGTCTCAGCTGAGACAGGGCCACCATGCACCCGAGACATGAGACAGGGTGGAATTAGGTAAACCAGGCATGTGTCTTTCATGTTTTCAAGTTCTTGAGAAATCCCTGTGTAGGGCAGAGGTGAGTAGCTACGGTACAGTGCAGGGTAGACAGAAATTGGTGGGGTCTCAGACGGGCGGAGGGGGACAGGCTATTGCTACACAACCCTGGCTTAGAACAACCTCAACCTCTCATTTGGTTTCCTCTCTGCTGTTGCCATCTTCAACAGGTATACATTTCTTTTCAACTGAGAGGGACCCTGTGGTTTCACTGTGCACTGATTCGCAAGTTGAGCATGGAGTGGAGGTACCATCATGCGGTCACTCCAAGCAACGCACATACTAGTAACATCACACTAATGTCACCACTGAGGGCAGAGAACAACTTTTGGAGGTGGATTCTCTGCTTCCACCATCTGGGTCCCAGTGGTCAAACTCAGGTCATTAGGCTTGTCCCGAGCATCCTACCCACTGCATCATCCTGCCAGTCCCTCGACATTAGCTTTGTTCCTAGTCCTGAACTCATCCAGCCCTGGCTGTTAGGAAAAGCCTGGTGTGGTGGCGCACATGCAAAATTACAAGAGGATGGCAAATCTGAGATTAGCCTAGACTGTACAGCAAGACGTGACATCTAAATAGAAGGGCTGGGGTACAGATCAATGGTGAGATGTCTGCGGAGCATGGCTCAGGACTGTGGTTCACATCCCAGAACTGCAAAAGCAAACAAAACCCACACCGTTGAATAGCTACTGTTGGTGTCTGAGCACCTGGAAAGAGGCCGTGTGTGCTGGAGAGCTTTTAGGCACAGAGTCCACTGTGGATCCAGTCTTGGGTTTCTGAGGGCTCATAATAGTGTCCAACCATCCAAAGGCTTCTCTGACAAAGCCATCCTTTGTGACCTTAGGGAGGCTGTTGTGGGCCTACCCAACCTCCTTCAGCCAGCCCCTGGCTTTGAGTGTCTTTATTCCACTCACAGTGATCTCTTTGCTGTCCCCTGCACATAGCATTCACCTTCCAGATACGCCCTTGGCTCATGCGTCCCCTTTATTGTCAAGAAGCTAATGGTATCTTCTCCCTGAGGCCTCTCCTGGCTACCCCATCTAAAATGGCAGCTTTCTTCCCAGCAACCCCCTTGGTTTGTTTTCCTACCCACATCTACTGTAGTATGACACATTTGTTTTTTATTAGTTGGCTTTGTAACTGTTTCCTTCAGTGAGAATGATAGACCCACACAAGAGTCTTTTGCTGTTGTCTTTTATATCCATCACTCTATTTCCAGGCCACAAATAGTGCCTGGCACACAGTAAACAGTCAGATAGTTGACAGATAATTAGTGTGGAAGTGGTTAAATTATAAGCCCAGAATCAAGCTGATGTCTCAGTTCACCAGCTGTGAAAGAGACTAAGCAAGAGACTGAGACTGGACTCCTTATCGGTGAATGGGGACACAAGACTGCTTCTTTCAAAGAACTGTAAGAATTTAAAGTGCTAAAATGGCTGCCTGCGGCTGACAGGAGGAGGTGGTGTCTGTTGTAACTAAATGACCAGGTACAGCTCCTTCCTTCCTTTTTTTTTTTTTAAAGTTTATTTATTTTAATTTATCTGTATACCTGCTTTGCCTGCACGCATGCATGTGTGCTGTGTGCAACCCTGTTATACCCCTAGAACGAGGGTTACAGATGGCTGTGAGCCACCAAGTGGGTGCTGGGAATGGAACCTGAGTCCTCTGCAAGATAGCTCTCAACCAGAGTCATCTCTCAATGTTCCCCAGGACCTTTCTTAAGCGGAAAGCAACCTTCTGGTTTGCTAGGTTTAGAACTGTAGCTTGAAGCTCTGGAACAAGGAGCTGGTTGAGCCTCAGATGATATGGCCCTGCTGTGGTTGCAGCTTTTGAAGCCATGGGGATGTCCAACCACCTCATCTCCTCCAAATGGCTGCTGGTATTCTGGGCTAAAATAAATCTGCTGGCCCGGCTAGCCATCA